TATATATATATATATATATATAGATTTGTGAATCGAAAGGTATACTAGATTTTACTTATGTTTTTAGCCGAATTTCCAAACAGCCCTTGCAAACAGTCGTTCCTTTATTCCGTTTTGGAATATTTTGATTTCTTATTGTCCCCACAACCTTGATCAGGATAAGCGGTTAAAGATGGATGGATTTCTTACTCTAGTGATTATTCAGCTCTTCTCCGGCTCTCTGTTTTTGCCGTATACAGGACGCCCTCATTCTGTTTATCTTCCCGATGGGCTCCAAGAATCTCACACACAGACTCATGAGAGGAGTAGCAGCGAGATGGAATTGATTGTTGCCTCCGTGCATTTCGTAATCAGATCGCGGAAGACTTCTGCATTGCAGGCGGGGATGAGGTTTCTTGCTGCCAGGCTACTCGGATAGCTGGCATAACAGAGGGGGCAGGTATTATTCGGAAGGGAACGTAGACATCAGGAGGTGCTGAAATCCAAGCCATATCAACAGGTTAAGTCACATAGCTTGGTTTTTAAGCCTTGTTAGATCTGTTGATGATACTACTGTGAAGACATATTTTAGCATTGCAGACTTTCTTTTTAATGTTAAACAGTCTTCTGCAGTAGTTGGGTGGCAGACCATGGGGTGGGGGAGGGAAGCTGATGACATCGACAGAAGGTCAGTGAGTACTTACACTCACTCTAAAGCACACGCTTTTTTTTTGTTTTTTTTTGGTTCATGCATAAATGGTTATGTCAGTGTTAAAATCGTGGGCAGATTGGTGGCCTGTGGCTCAATGGGATGCACCTCTGTGGCTATGATCAGAAGGTCCTAACTTCAAGCCTGGACCTTGGCAGAAGTTACCTTTCTTTTGGGCCCTTGAGTAAGACTCTTAACCCCCGGGGGGGGGGGGGTCACTTGTGATGAAAGCAGGACACCACCTTATTTTTCCACATAATAAAAAAGGTGTAAAGTTACCCTGCTAATAAGCTCTGACAAGGGTCACTGGCTGCACCAGCAAAATTAGACAGAAGTATATTGGTTATCGATCAAATTTTCTGATGCAGAAGTATGGAAGTACAAGGAAAAAGGTGTTCATTAATGCATTAAATGTAACAGATAAAAAATAATTCCATCTGCTCAATTTTTGTTCCGCTACTTCTGTCTCTTTCCCCTGCGTTTCTGCGTAACTTCCAAGTTAGCAGTGGTGCTTGTGGTCAACCAATCAGCAAGTTCATTGGTATAAGACCCACCCCGATAGTTTGTGTTCGAACGAAAAGTACCTGGTCCTTTGTGGAGAATAAGAAAAGGTTGCGGAACTGCCTCCAAGGAACTACAGTTGGGCCGAATCTTGTATTTGTTTGGTTACTTATGGTGAATGTTAGGGCTAGGTAAGGGTTAGGTTATGTTATTATAGCTAGGATTAGGGTCCTGCCCACAGAATTCAGTGGAGAGTTCCCACAATGACAGGAAAGCTCAAGTGCAAGATGGGATATGTGAAAAGAAGCCTTACAGTCTGCCTGTACGTGTGCAGTTAGTAAATAAAGCATCATTTCATTTTTTCATTTTATTTCTTTTTGCAGAAGTGCTTGGCTAGAGAAACCTTTAATTTTCCAGAATGCCCAAGTGACTGTTTATTTTAATTGAAGTTGTGCATAAACTTGCAAGATTTATTGCAGTATGGACAAAACATGGGAACAGTGACAGTCTGTCCATGTTTATTGCCTTGTAAATGGTGCCTTCTAATCTCATGATGCGGCACTTTATCCAAAGTTACAGCTAAATATCTTCAGCAGTTCATTTCAAGCTGCTCTCAAGCATAAATTAGCATTTTCTCTTGCTGAATATACAACATGGTGAATTCATGATTTTCCAGTCTATTAATTTACTAATATGCATTGCTGGAAAAGTCCTCTGATTTTTTTCCACTTTGTACATGTGTTGTTAGAACTGATTTTTTTTTTCAATCTGTAGTTTGGCAGCAAAAATTGTAAATCCAACCTTTCTGACCATGAATCTTTTTTTTCACTATGTGAAAGTAACCCATACACTCGATTTTCTCCATGTCCACATGTGAGAAACATCTAGTGAGAGTCTTGAGAGAGAAGCAGAGCACAGAGACCCTTCAGATCTACCAGCAGACAGGGAGGAATCCTTTAAGCTGAGAAGGAATAACTTAGTGACCATATTAATAATAAACACAGATAATTGTCACTGTGCTACAAGTTAAAGGCAAACACAAAGATAGAAGTGCTTTGTGGGTGTTCATTGTTTTTGTAATTGCATTTATCCGCTGGTTGGTCTTGTGTGACAAAGTGGACTAGGATGCTGTGCCTGTCAATGGAAGGTTGCTGGTTCGAGTTCCATGGTCAGCATAGTGATGTCACTGTTGGTCCCTTGAGCTATTCCCTAAACTGCAATTGCTCCAGTGAATGGCTGATCCTGCTATGTCAACTGTATGTTGCACTGGCTGAAAGTATCTGCTAAAGAAGTTAATGTAATGTTTTTCTTATATTTACTTTTCATTCCGGAATATGAAGGAATTGCCATGTAATCCACTCGTATTCCATCAGCCCGTCTGTTCTGTCACTGTTCCTCCAAGTTTGCCGTTGGAGAAACGCGGCGAGAAATCTTGAAAAGTCATCAACCTCTTTTTTATTTTCCCCGAAAGCTGGTTGTCTTCGCCAGCACCCGTACAACCACCTGCGTGGCCAGAACGAGCCATGTCGCACTAACCGTGAGCTGAGACGGAGCCCAGCCTTTAGATTTCACCCTCTTTTATCATATAAATACTTTCATCCCTTACAGAGTAAAAAAATTGACTAGTGTTGTGCAGATTGATGGGACTTCAGCAGAATTCTCATTTAAAGTAGTTTCATTCCGAGGCTCCGGTGCCTCGGAATGAAATGTGAAATTTGGTGAACGCGGGGCCCTCATAGGTGACAGGACGTATCTTTCAGCTTTGACTCTCAACCAGTCTGTCTGCTTTGCGTCACTCGTCCCAACCCCCGACATGTCACCCCTTCCAGTCCCTTGTGGGTAGCTGCCCCATCCCGCTTCAGGCCAGTCCTGTAGAATGTGACACCAGGGCAGCAGGTGTGCCCTGGGTGAGGTCAGGGGGCAAGCGTGACGTTTCCCCTGCAGGAATTTACAGCCCCGGACAGACACTTCTCACGGCGGATGACTCTTCCTCTGGTCTGCCGCCCCTTTTGGTGTTTGCTTCCATACACGTGATTTTCACCACTGTGGCCAAGGCTGCCGCAGCTCAATAAATCCGTGTTAATGAGTTGATCGCTTGTAGAGTTCCCATGTGAATTTGTCAACTTCACTGGTCTGTTTATTTAAAGTGACAGGTGGATCAATTCTGTTTGCTTGGTATAAAAGTAGGGGTTCCTTTGTGTGAGTCATTACGGAACCTGTTGAGATGAGCTTGACTGATGGCGTACATGAGATTTGTGGTTTTTTAGCGGTCCGTTGTGACGGGTCCTCGGGATTTCCAGGTTATGGTGCATGCAGTTTCACTTTCATTTGCAGAATTATGTGAGTTGCTGATATCTAGCCCCTCTTGAATTTGTGGATGAGTCTGAAGGCAGAGAGAGGATTACGGGCCTATCGCTTGCTGCTCTGACCTGATCTCATGTGCCTCTCTCTCTCTCTCTCTCTCTCTCTCTACCCCACAGGGTCGTGAAGGAGGAGATTTCTGACGACAATGCCAAGCTGCCCTGCTTCAATGGGAGGGTGGTGTCCTGGGTAAGGCTGATGGACGGTGTCCTGCAGGCGTGGCTTCGCATGCGGCTGTGAGGCTCGCCACGGAGCGGGTTACATCACTGCCTCTGCAGTGCCCCCACCCCCCTTCATGAAGTCACCAGAACGCGGTCACCGCCTAATAAGCTGCACCTTGATGTGATGTATTTTACTTTAAAGGCTCAGATCTTCGGATGGTAATTTTTTACAGAGAATAACATTAATATTTTAAAGCATGTGTATAACATGATACCAGAACTCAAAGATCTTGTTTGCTGTGGTCGTTAATAATACAGTGCACAGCACTAAATGGGAATCTTTTAGAGAATCCAGAGATTATAACTATTATCGGTATCACGTAATGATACATCAGAAACCGTAGCAGCAAAGTTTCACAGAGCAGAAGGTATCACTTTAAAGCAGAGGTACAAGCTGACTTGAATACAGATTAATGCTCTAAATCGGAAGCTCGGAGGAACTCGGTGCTATACGTTTTGACAGTAACGTTGTCTCAAGTCAATGTTGGGGGAGCTTCTAGAAAAACGACTAGAAAAAGGACTCTAAAGCACTGCAGAGAAACACTGTAATGTGTGAGCAGTTCAAAGATCGTAATCCTGTTTACACATTTTGTGCAATGTCAAGATAAACTATTATTTTTTTTCATCATGAAACGTATGCAGCATTTCCATGTGGAACAATTCACCTCCTAACAGTTTTTCAACCTGGAAACTTCTAGCTGTATGATGCCATTTGTATTCATAAACGGAAATTAAAATATGGATTACTGAGTCCTTTGTAGCTGGTGCTGGGGTGCTCCGGGACCTTAATCTCTGCCCACTTCTGTATGGATCCCGCATGGCAGACCGCTGTAAGGTTCTTATTTGTTCCTTTAAGAATAGGCTTGGTACCCAGCCTGCACTGCTTTCCATAAGCTGTTTTACACCACTGTCAGAGGGATATTAATATAATCTGCTAATGTCCAGATGCTGTCCTGGTACCAGGTGTGAGGCTGTTAGGTAGTGATCGACAAAATGATGCTTCATGAACCGTCTGCTGTATTTTTTTTACCCCATAGATGGTGCTCTTGGTTTGCTTTCGGGCATGCTTTGTGCCCTTTTTTTTTAACTAAGAGCACCATCTAGTGGGCTGAAAAAATACAGCAAATGGTTCATGAAGTGTAATTTTGTCCATCACTACCATTAGGATAGGGGGCTGCCTTGGGGCAAACTGCAGTGTATCTGATGGACTGTCTGTGGCATTCTGTCTGCTGTCAGCTCGTGCTGGCTGAGAGCGCCCACTCCGACGGGGGATCCCAGTGTACCGAAACCCATCCTGAGCTCCCGCCTCCCCTAGAGAGGACTGGGGGCATCGGGGACTCCAGACCACCTTCCTTCCAGTGAGCACCTGCACTTCGCCACACTTTCATAATACACACTCACAACACGCATGTACATGCATGTACATTTATACTAAAATGCCAACTTACACACGACCATACATATGCACTTCCAAACCTTTGATTTTAACCAGCAGTATCTCTGGACCACCAACATATTTGCAGATTTTTCAGTCTAACTAAAAGGATTTGTAGTATCTTAAGTGCAAGGTTAGCAGCAATCATTCAAGCTTAATAGTATGTTCAGCATGGCGTGGGTTTCACACTAGGGGGCGGGGCTGCCTGTCAGTGCTGAATGCTCACTACCGCATGTGCAAACCTAGCCCTCTTGACCTTAGTCATAGTTCGAGATATGGAGTATGCCATCTGGTGGACAGAAGGCAACCATGCATGTCTTTCAGGAGACCAGCACCAGTAACAGAGACGGCCTACACCAACACCACCCCCCCCACCCCACCCCACCACAACGTTTTGAGAAGGACCTTGCGTGTGCCAGACCTCTGGCTAAATGTGCCTGGCACAGACTCAGCCATCTCTGCAAGGCTGTAGCCTGCTGGTCGTCTGGCCGTTACGATGCCCTTAATAATGGACGCGCTCCAAACACAGCAGCAATAATCTAAACATCTTGAGGGAGCTTCTCCCCAGGGAAGCCGCATAATGTACTCAGCCACAAAATTTGCTTATCCCAGCAAAATTACTTGTTTTAAAAATGGAATGAAACGAAAACGGCTGGTGTTTTTACTTTTAATGTACACTGGATTGGCTCTAAAAACTAGATTTGAACTCTAGCACAATATTAAAGATGCTTTTCGAGCAACTTAGGAGCAGGCTAAATTTAGAAAAGAAACTGCTGCTAGCTTGTTGCCGTCGCGGCCACCATTGCTGGGTCTATATTGAGAACAAGCAATCTGTCAAGTCACGGTATCTGTTTTTATTGAGCGTTTCACATTCTGACTCCCTTCTGCCCTCTGCTGACTGCTTTGGTCTCTTACCTCCATCTCATGACTTGTAGGCGTGTCGGCGTGTTTCTAGCTCCATCTTGTGGCGAGAATGGGGAACACCCCATAATGGGCGTTCCGTCGATTTCACCGATTTTTTTTCTCTAAAAATCTCTTCTTTTTTATTACAAATGCTGACATCATACTGAATGGGCAAAAATTACTTTAAAGGATAAAGAATACCGATAAAACACCAGTTCGCATTTCCCAGGGGACCCGGTGGGGTTACTCAGCGACAGTCTCTCGATTTGTCTGACCCAGTGCGACTGTTTGCTGTCTACCTGGGTCTCGGTCGTCACATGCCAAAGCACTGTGACATCCGCTGTGTCATGACAGGATCGCTGTTTGAACAGCGCTGTGTCACATATGGACAGGCGCAAGATATACTGGATTGCATTTTAGTTATTCTTGATGGGCGCTGTGGACAGTTGTTAAAACACGGAAATAGAACAATTCAGTTTGGTTAGTTGAAGAAAAAAAACTGACAGTTGTCACATGAATTGCGTTAAATTGGTATTTTTCACACGCACTCAGTTTAAAGATACGGTGTAATTACAGCAGTTTGCCACCTGGGGGAGACCTATACAGGGAGTCTCTCAGCTGAAATGTAGTGTGTTCTAGCTCTCAGTACAGACTTGCAGTTCCTTTGTTTCACTGATAGCTACATTGCAGTTTTTAATGTAAATTAAATAGTCTTTAGTTTTTAATATTCAGTAAAGTAAAATGTAATATGAATTGCATAATAAAATGAATATAATCACTTTCTCAGAGAACCTGTATACTATTTCATCGTACCATTGCAAATTTGAATGTGTTTTAAAGTAAATTTTATTGTATATTCTGATAGTACCATTTTTGTAAACCATAGATACAATATTTGGTCAGACTGCTTGTAAATCAAAACGAATGACATAATGAGGCTTTTGGCATGTTAAAAAAACACTATGCAACATGTCGTTAAACTGCCTTCAGTTTTAATCCAGCTTTCATTGAGTGGAGAGCTTTATCGTTGTAATATGGGTATAGCTGTCATGCAGCTGTGGTGTGACGCTGCCGTGTGTGTGTGACTTACAGCGCTAATGCCGTGAGCAGCCGTGACGGCCTGGACACGGAGACGGGCAGCGAGTCCCTCCTCAGCCACCGTAGAGAGAGAGAGCGGGAACGCGCCCGGCGGAAGGCCAGGGAAGGCGAATGTGAGTACTGCCACCGCCGCGGCGACTGCAGCCTGAACAGCCGCCGCTCCACGAGTGTCACTCATCCCGTACTTCCAAATTATGCCATGTTAATAACTCTACAGGACGAGCGGGACGTCCTGTGTTCAGAGGCAATTCTAGGATTTTTGTGGTGGGGGGCTTAAGAGGGGTCATAATTCATAGAGAGGGGGCCACCTTATTATTAGCCAATGATATGCTTTGAGTTGGTGAGTGACAGGGATGTAGAGTACTCACCTTTTAACAGCACTTTGTTTGCCGGAAAACCATCAAAAATGTTAAGAACGTGTTCCTGGGATTATTACGAACGGCTACCAATAATTTCAGGTTACATTTTACTTTAGACTTGCCCTGCATTACTGTTGCCGTGAGAGCGCCCTCTCTGGTGGATGCGGGGAAGGGCTGTCTTTTCTGAGGGGCGGTCAGCCCCGGAGCCGTGATGCATTTCCAAGAAAGCAGGGGCTGTAATGCCAGGGAAAACATATTTTTTTAAGTGACCCAGATGGCTTATGCTTTTCTTTGGTATAACTCTGGGCTCTGGAACCGGCTCCAGGCTGGATAAGTGGTTAGAAAAAGGATGGATGTATGGATGGATGGATAAATTATCTAATATGACTTTGTTTGATTCAACGTCGAATATGATCACTAATATAAGGCAGAGATCTAAAGATTCATCTGAAGGTGTCCTGCTGGAAATACAGACAAATTGTGCATTTCTGTTTTTTCAAAGGTCATTTGGGTTATTCTATATCCAGACAGATTCTGGTTTCAGTTTGGGATTCATTTCAGCTGTAGAATGTGTGTGTGTGTGTGTGTGTGTGTGTGTGTGTGTGCAGTTGTCCAGTTGGGTCGTGGTCAGTCCCTGTTGAATACTACAGTGCTTTGCAGGGAATACTGGTCTAATGAAAATGTGGTGTCTCTCTTAATTTCTTATGAAAACGTGATGTCTCTGTTCACGTTGCTGGTGTGTCCTCGGTGTGGAGGAACAGGCTGGACAGGGACATCAACTCTCCTATTAGTGCCATGTTCACCAACTGGTGGACTCTGGTCTGTATCCATACAAATCTAAAATAAAATCCCCCCATCAGATGGAGTGTTGATGCAATTTGACCTTCTGGGAAAAATTGTTGGGGTTTAGTATATAACTTCAGCTAAATCAAGGATTATCATGCACAGCTGCCTGCTTTAACATGCACAGCTTCCTGCTTCAACATGCACAGCTGCCTGCTTTAACATGCACAGCTTTCTGCTCTAACATGCACAGCTTCCTGCTTTAACATGCACAGCTTTCTGCTTTAACATGCACAGCTTCCTGCTTTAACATGCACAGCTTCCTGCTTTAACACAGGCCCCCTCTGTCGTAATGCTGACAGCAGATGGGCTGCTTTCATAAGAGCATGTGGTGTTTTGCACTTGGACGTGTATGTGATGCTGTCCCTCCGCTAGGGAGGGGAGGAGAGGGGAGGAGAGGGGAAGGGAGCAGAGGGGAGCAGAGGGGAAGGGAGGAGAGAAGAGGAGAGGGGAAGGGAGCAGAGGGGAGCGGAGTAGAGGGGAAGGGAGCGGAGGAGAGGGGAGCAGAGGGGAGAGGAGCAGAGGGGAGGGTAGCGGAGCAGAGGGGAACACAGGGGAAGGGAATAGAGGAGAGGAGAGGAGAGGGGAGGAGAGCCATCCCTGGCACACTCACTCCAGTCGAAGCCGCACTGATTATCACAGAAACAGCAGTTCTCACCCACCAGCCCCAAACCTCCTCGCCTCTACGGCCGCCTCATTAGCAGAAATGTCATTAATTAATGTGGATTAATTACAGCCGGAGATGAGGAGGTGGATGTAGGGTGCAGCTGGTGAGATGTACAGGGCTCACAGAAAGTCTTGGGATGCTTGCTAAATTCTGTAACAGTGTTGCGGATTTACTGGTTATATCCTCCTGAGACCCAAGGAAAAAAGTGTCCTTCAAATATAGGTTATTTGTCTTTGGAGGAAACAAGACATCTTACAATTTAGATTTTTTCAAATGTATTTTTATTTTTAATTTCACAGCATGTCCTCTTTAGTGTACAACAGAAATAAATATGTTTCCTTACATCAGTGAAAAGATAGATGCAGAAACAACATGTCCACTACAATGGACATAAATGAATGGGTGGGGACTCAGAATGTTACAATAAAAGTACATTGACCAGCAATGTTTAGCATATCTTCTTCACAGACATTTTCTTGTTATTAAGTGTTATAATTTTTTTCCCATTAGTTTTGTTCTTGCAATTTTGTTGTTAAATTGCAATTGTAGTGACTGGCTCTCAAGCATGGGCGTCGCCACCTTTAAATCTTAGGGGGACGTGTCCCCCTCACATTTCATAATTATTTGTTTGGACCCCCCCACATTTAACATAAAATATTAGTTTTATGCCAGTGTGCCCCCCCCCCCCCACATTCAAAATGCTTCTGACACCCCTGTCTCACAGGGACACTAAACATAAATGTTTGGTGTTTTATGTTATTGTGAAGGTGTTACTGATTAAAAGCACCCAATGATGCTTATCAATTAACTTTTTTAAATTAGATCAGCTCTTTTAGATTTATAATTTGCGTCCTAGTTTATTAGTACTTGGATGTGATGTATATTTTCAGTAAAACGAATGAAGTTGGTTTTTGTTATAAAACCAACAAATCTGCAATATTCTTTACTAAATGAAGCAAGCGTCCCAAGACTTTCTGTGAGCACTGTAGATGGCAGAGAAGGTTTTGAAAGGACCCCCATTCTTCACCTCCACCTCCACCTGACACCCCACTGTGTTAAAACACTCGCCTCACACAGGACTTCACACCAGCGGTCCTTGTCCACGGCTGTGACTTCCACTGCAAACACTGCCATGCATCTTCATTATGGCGGCCATCTTGAAGTCCACAGCTCACATGCTGAATGTGTGTGGTGATGGAGTGCATTTCCCATGCTGAAGGGGAAATGCCTCCATGTCATTTTTTGAAGTAGCCTGATTGCACATCCTGTATGTAGGACCCTTGTCTTATTTTAGTAGCCCCCACTGTAAGCATGTTCCGGAGCAGGTGGTGTCATCCTCTAACATTTAGCTTAGCGTGCATCTTCGCATTTGGCTCTCTAGCCGCATGTGCACCTAGTCGGCTAAAGCTGCACATTTAGCCTGAAGGTTCTGCAGTAGAAACCAGGACTGCAGCTGTCCTCGGTCACGACAGAAACTGTCAGTGCTGCATCAAGGTGTAGTCACTTCTGATAGAGGGTCTGTGAGCTGCTGTTGTTGGGCATTCTTTGCATATTTTACATTATTGACAGACTAAGATGTGATAAAGTGTGTGACAATATGCATAGTGCAACAAGGCCATGCAGTAAATTCATACATTATGTTTGTATGAATGTATGTTGCCTTAAAAGTAAAGATTCAAGATTGAAAAAGTTCTGACTGAAAGTAGAGCTTCTGATGCTCATTAGATTAGCTGGTGTGCAGTGGGCTTCATAATGAATAACCTTTGATATAATTCACATTAATGCATAGTATTAAAATCCCTGTCTTGCAGTGTCATTTCAGTATGGCTGGTTGGGGATGCTCTCAAGGCAGGGGTCTCAAACAATTTTTCCCCAAGGACCAAATTCCATCAACACTAGGATTCTTATGCATTAGTAGTGGTGATGCTAAAACAACTGTTGCTGTTCCTCCCTGTCAGCAGTCAGTTAAGTGTGTGTGCTGACAGCCACAGAGCTCCTCGGGTGTTTGTGTTAACGCGTCATCCTGTGCTGCCCAAACCCAGCAGTGTAGAGAAATTTGTGGGATGAGACGTGTATTTGAGTGACATTAGCAATGCTTACCTGCAGCTGAAGAGGGCTGTAGAAAGGTACCCCGACACTTTATCAGCATGTGAGGTCCTTCCAGCCAATTGTCCTGACACTTGGCTCCGCCCCCGACATTGCTGTATCTATCCAAGTGGGAGGTGATTCAGAGATGGTGTTCAGGAAGGTGCATAACTCTGTAAATGTGGGACACTCGTATTTAACATGGCGTTAAACCTTCTACTTCAGTGATGACTTCATACATATAGGCGGACCATGGTAAGTCATCGAGGCTGCAAGTGTGTCCCAATACCACTTTTTGTCCATGCTACCATCCTCCCTCCCTCCCTCCCTCCCTCCCTGCCTCACTCACTCACCCGTTCCTTCCCTCGTCAAATTTGTGAACTTTCGATAGCGAGTCATCGAGGGAGGGAGCCATCGAAAACAGTTTTGGGATGTAACCATAGTTTTCCTTGAGTGTTTTGTTTCTGTTTTAATGGAGTGAAGACCTCTGCGTGGCCCTAAGGTGCTCTGTCTCTGTGCTGTCTCCCCTAGTCTCCCGTGTGAACGGCCACTCCAAAGTCGAGCGAGCGGCACGCGACTCGGCCATGGGCTACGACAGCACGTCCATGATGAGCAGCGAGCTGGAGTCCAGCTCCTTCATCGATAGCGAGGAGGATGAGGATGCCAGCAGGTGCCCAGAACCTATATCCACACGCTTGCAGCAGCATGAAGTTTGGTAGATTATTGGGCTCATTGATTCCATGACACTCAGGCAGGACCACAGAGGACATCCACTGAGTATCAGTCCAAACTAGACCATGCACAAATTATTGTTATTTCTTATATTTTTATTATTATTACAGTTGCTTAGCATATTAATCTAGTCTAATGCATGAGTTAAACCAGGCGATTTATAAAAGGTTGAGACTAAGCCTTTATTTGGGGGGTCTGATTTTAATGATAATGAATGAGATCGCATAATTTAAACTAATTAGTGTACATTTATTTGTTTGTTTATTTGGGGGCGGGGCTAAAGCCCCCCTAACACAGCCCTAGCAATGCTCCCAAGTGAAGTCATTCCCAGTGATGTCACATCTGTCACTACAAAAAACTATTAACCCTGCAACCCTTGATGACTGAATATTGAAAAGAGAGCAGTTTTCATGTTGAAAATTGCTGCTTACCTTTGCTGTTGCAGCCTTCCCTCTGCACAATAACACTTCCTCTCTTTCTCTTCACCTGTCATTGTCTTTTTTCGGATACCCTCTCACCCCATATTCATCGCCATCTTCCTTTCTTTCATTCTGCCTGCCCCTCATTCTCTTCATTCTCCCTCTCTCCCCCTTCGTCACTCTCCTTCTCGCTCTCCTCATTCACCGGCGCCTCCGCCTCCATTCCCCTCTTCATTTGCGTCTCCTTCATCTCGCACCCCCCGCCCCCCCCCCCCCCCCCCCACAGACTCAGCAGCTCTACAGAACAGAGCTCCTCCTCCCGTCTGATGCGGAGACACAAGCGCCGGCGAAGGAGACACAAAGTAGCCAAGATGGATCGGGTGAGCATGGCACTGACGTGCTCCACGAGGATCCAGTTCTTCTGAGATGTACTTCTGGGACACTTAGCACATGCGCATAGAGCATTTTACATTTAGCAACATGCTAATGGCTGCGTCCCACACTTGGATGGGTGTGGAGCTGAAGGTTTGATAGGTGTGTGACTGCGTGTGATGTTCACTGTCCGCGTCTCATTCCTCTTACCACAGTCATCCTCGTTCAGCAGTATCACCGACTCTACAATGAGCCTTAATATCATCACTGTCACCCTAAATATGGGTAAGGAATCCTTTTTGTCCTTCCTGCTGTTGCTGGCCTGTTTAGAGGGGTGCTGTGTGGTTTGAGTATATCCCCCCCTGTCCCCTGACAGAAAAGTACAACTTCCTGGGTATCAGTATAGTCGGACAGAGCAACGACCGCGGGGATGGGGGCATCTACATTGGCTCCATCATGAAGGGGGGTGCCGTGGCAGCAGATGGCAGGATCGAGCCAGGAGACATGCTGCTCCAGGTAAGCGGATCATGTTGGTGCCACTTTCAGCCGGGGCCATTTGGCAGGATGACGCTCTCCCTGCTGAGAGACTCCCAGTCGCCTGGACGACAGCATCCCATCCCGGTGGGCTCTGCTATAAGGTTGCATCCTGTGCTTGAAATAAACGTCTTTTAAAAGGGTCTCCCCGGTGGCATCTTTCCTGGCAGCCAAACAATGATGACGTTTGGTGCCTTTTTCTCTTTTTCCCAATATCTATCCTCTGCGGTCAGCCACTCATAAAGCCAGTTAGTTGGTCTATGACGGATTAGGGGGCCTTTGTCAAAGTATGTGGCGGTCAGGCAGCTGAACAGATACACATACCTGACGCAGTCTGACAGTGGCTGAAGTTACTGATGGATGCAGGAAGGGGATACTGGCAGAGCCTGTTCTAAGTGATCCTGTTCCACTCGGATAAAAATACTTGCCAAATTTGGATTCTTGAATATCATTTCCTTCGGCTGGGAGTGAGCGAGAAGAACATCTGTCCGCTATCCATGATTCATGCCCACTACTTCCTGACAGCCAGAAAAAAATTCGGAACTTTCTACCGCGTTCTGTCCTTCTATTTCAACAGCAGAATAGCTCAAAATTTGGCTACACACCACAACCAGCAAGGCTATGGTAACTGTGAAACCTCCAGTAGCCAGATCATGTATGAGACCGTGCCAGCATGGCGTCTCATGGGGCACTGCAGTAATCAGAAGACAGTAAAGAATCACTTATGAATATCCAGACACCTCATTATTCCCATGCAGGCCAGCTACCCAAAACCAATGTTTTCTGTGATCGCCACCTGCTGGCTAGTATTGGAATTCATTGACGTGAGGGTTATTCTTTTTTTCTGAGGTGCACTTTTACTGCTGTTAAACAGCCATGTTTCTCACTGCCGCAGTGTCACCGAGCTGTGACAAAGAAAAAAAATCTTGCAGTTGCCTTTATTTTTTCACAGATGAAAACTGTGAAAAGAAAAAGGTCAAAGTTACTGTTATTTATGTCATGTTTTTATTCATTATAATTTAAATGTTTGATATGAAATTTCTCATCACACATCCGTTTTTACACCATTGACACCGAAGTCACTCGAGCCTTTCATGTTGTTTATTGCATACGCCTGTATCCTGCCACTAGTGGCTGACTCTGGTACTGCATCCTCATAGGTCAACGACGTGAACTTCGAGAACATGAGTAATGATGACGCGGTGAGGATCCTACGAGAGATCGTCTCCAAGACCGGGTATGACCAGTGCAGAGGTGGTGACTGGACAGCTTAGTTCTGCTATGGACTGTTGCTCTTTAAATATAGCTCTCCTAACAGAAATGAAATTTAGCTGTTTATTTGACAGTGACTTCTAATTTTTTAGTAAAACGGGCATATCATTTTAATCCAGTTGTTCAGATGGATGGGATTAAAGGGACTATAACTGGGATTACCACCTCATATCTGTGGTCACTGCACTAATGCTGTTGCTTTCAGTAGACAGCAGGATACCTTTGTTTATTCATTCCTGTTGGACCCCCGCAACCAAAGTTCATGTGTCTGTATGACTTTATGGTTTGTAATCTGTGTTTGGGCTTTCTAATATTAAGCCACAATCTTATCTAACATCCCACAATATGAGTAACTGTTCTGAGAACAGAAACCAGGAACCGAAAGTGAAATCAGGCTGACCGGGGATGGAGAGTCCCTGGCGCTCCCTGGGGTAAACTGGGCCACGTCACCGCCTCCGCCCCCTGACCGGTCCCTCCTGTCTTGCAGGCCCATCAGCCTGACGGTGGCCAAGTGCTGGGATCCGTCACCCCGCAGCTACTTCACCATCCCCAGGGGTGAGGGAGTTTGGCCGCTGGTGCCGTCACCCCTGCCGCCCATGTACCAAATGGCCCCCAGTCGCGGTTCTCATGGGTTCCCCTTCCTCCTTGTATCCGTTTGCCCCTGCAGCTGAGCCGGTGAGGCCCATAGACCCAGCAGCCTGGATCTCCCACACCACCGCCTTGACGGGGCCATACCCACACTACGGTACGGTCAACTCCGCATGCCAGAGGCGCTTCTTGTGCTGGAGACTTTGATTCTAAAAACTACTGACTTTATCAGTGGTTTCATTATTAATTATTATCTCAGGGTTAGGAGGTTTTTGCATAAAGATTTGCCCACTAGGTGGTGCTGTTGTTGCCTAAACCAGGGTTTCTCAACCTGTCAGCAGCCCCGGGGTTCTCCCTTGGTAAATTTTACTGACCACGGGTCGGGGCTTCCCCCTTGCCAAATTTCATTGACCTGGGGGTGTCAGTCAAGTGCCCCTGGTAAAACTAGCAAAAACCGCCTCTTCCCGACCAAGAATAAGAGGGTTGCGGGTGACATCATACGGTAGAATTCATACTAAGCAAAGACCGTCATCTGCCATGTAGGTGGATAGAGTACCATCTGGTGCAAGATACTCTTTTACCTCGTTTAAAAAAGCAGGGGAAAATCCTTCACCGTGTCTGCCCTAGCGGTGCTGGTGCCAAACCGGTACTTAATTTGGGACTATGCTTTGCCAGTGCCGATTACCTGGTGCCGTGCTTGTGTCTCCACAGAATTACCGGTCTGACACTGGCAGCGTGCCGTTTGCATGTGACAAGAGGCCACCATGTGCTTTAAGCTTCAACAGAGCCGTATTTGTTATTTCCAGTGTTTGGTGTTTCGTTTGATGTTGGTGCTTGCTAAAAACATGCAGAAATTAAAGTAAAGCTGGGGAAAGCAGGAAAATGCCAGGTCTGCCCAGGCCGTGTGCCGACTCTGCCCCCTGGATAAATTGCACTAAACAGGGTTGGCCTCGTATTACCGGGTAATATGGCAAAATGTTTTATTACGTTTTTTTCTTCAAATCAGTCGGTATTGTAAATTTTCTTTATATACACTCACCTAAAGGATTATTAGGAACACCATACTAATACGGTGTTTGACCCCCTTTCGCCTTCAGAACTGCCTTAATTCTACGTG